CAGCGCCGGGCACGGAGCGTGCGGAGGGCGACGTTGCCCATGGACAAGGAAGGGCGTTTAACACATGCACTGCAATTCAGGTGCTCGCAGACCTTCCTTGGTCCAGCGCGATGCTCGCAGGATGCTCGCAAGCTGCTCACAGGCCTTGCTTCATCCAGCACGAAGCTCACAGGAGCTCGCAGGCCTTGCTTGGTCCTGCTCGCAGACCTTCCTTGGTCCAGCGCGATGCTCGCAGGATGCTCGCAAGCTGCTCACAGGCCTTGCTTCATCCAGCACGAAGCTCACAGGAGCTCGCAGGCCTTGCTTGGTCCAGCATGATGCTTGCAGGAGCTCACGGACCTTGCTTGGTCCAGCATGATGCTTGTAGGACGCTCTCAGGATGCTCACAGACCTTGCTTGGTGCAGCGCGATGCTTGCAGGAGCTCACAGACCTTGCTTGGTCCAGCATGAGGCTCACAGGAGCTCACAGACCTTGCTCAGTGCAGTGCGATGCTCACAGGAGCTCACAGATCTTGCTTGGTCCAGCGCAATGCTCGCAGGATGCTCGCAGGAGCTCACAGGCCTTGCTTGGTCCAGCATGATGCTTGCAGGTGCTCACAAACCTTCCTTGGTCCAGCGCAATGCTCGCAGGATGCTTGCAGGATGCTCACAGACCTTGCTTGGTGCAGTGCGATGTTCTCAGGAGCTCACAGACCCTGCTTAGTCCAGCACGATGCTTGCAGGATGCTTGCGGACCTTGCTTGTTCCACCACGATGCTTGCAGGATGCTCACAGGAGCTCGCAGACCTTGCTTCATCCAGCGCAATGCTCACAGGATGCTCGGCAGGCCTTGCTTGGTCCACCACGATGCTCTCAGGAGCTCGCAGACCTTGCTTGGTCCAGCATGAGGCTCACAGGATGCTCGCAGGCCTTGCTTGGTCCACCACGATGCTCTCAGGAGCTCGCAGACCTTGCTTGGTCCAGCATGAGGCTCACAGGATGCTCGCAGACCTTGCTTGGTCCACCACGATGCTCACAGGATGCTCACAGACCTTGCTGTGTTCACAGGAGCTCACCTGGCCCGGGGTGAGCACTGCGATGCACGAGGCTGAGCTGTTGCAGTAGCTGCAAGGTCGGAATGATCTCGCTTATTTTGTTTCTATTTCATTTTATTTTATTTTTCTGGGAAGCTTGGCTTATTTTCTGTAGCACCCACCTTCCCATGTGCATTTGCTAGCTCCCCGGGAATAACCATGGCTATTCCAGGGCTTTGCCTGCAAGGAGCCAAGAATTCCATCTGAATCTGCCTTTTCCATGCTCCAAGGGGAGAGACCTTTAAGTGGCCACAGAAATCAGGTTTTGTCCCCTAACCGCAGTTGTGAGGGATGCGGATGAGCTCCCAGCTTTCATGGAAAACCCTATAAATCCACTGTGGCTTCCCTGATCCCCCCAAATGCTAATGTGGGATTAGGGAGAATCCGGGAGTCTGATGCTGCAGTGGGTGGGCTCTGTCCTTGTCCCCAGGATTACCTGTCCCCAGGCAGGTTTTGAGGCCTTTTCTGGAGTTTTATGGAGCGCACAGAGGCGGGTGAAGCTCCTCGCTGCTGAGGACAGGAGGACTTGGGGAAATTCTGCTTCATGCTTCAAAGGAAGTTTGGAAAAAGCAGAAAAAAAGAAAAATCCAGAAGCTTTTCCCTTGGAAAACCTAATTTAGTGGTAAAGCAGCTCTTTGTTCAGAGCAGTTCTCCAAGAGGAGCGTTGCACTGAGCTTGGAGCTGGAGCAGGAGACCTGTTCGTTTCCATTTGTCCTCCCCTCCTTTTCTTTTCTTAAGGGCCTGTCTTTGAGGCCAGTTTCCCTGGAATTATCCCACTCAGCTGCTCATGCTCCTCCTCAGGCCTCATTTTTCCATGCCCTGGGCCTCTGGGATGCCGGGATGGAGATCCCAGGCAGCAGTGGCTCCTTGGGAGCCTTTGCATGGGCAGGAGCTGGGTACCCAGGGATGCTCCTGGTGCTCCCAGAGTTGCTCCTTCTGGCGGTGGGATTGTGCCCTGCACTGAGCACCGGGAATGAGATAGCTTCCATATGCCTGGAAATCGGCTCTAATCCTAAGGAAGGGGCAGCCGGCCCAGGGGCTGCGCAGGGGCCGTAATCCGGCGCCGTCGGGAATTACCGCAGGTTGAGGGGAGGCAGCGCTGGGGGCTGCAAAGCCCCCGGCCCGGAGAGCAGACCCGGATCTTCCCTGCCCTCCCTGGGGAGCTGCGTGGCTGTGTCCAAAGGCGGATGTAGCCGGGCGGAAACCGGCTTTCCCTGGGCAAATAAAATAGGCGGCTGCTTGGAACGGGGATCCGGAGCGCCGCGGCCGGCCCCTCGCACGGTGCAGGGTTTGCTCAACACGCAGCCCCCGGGGAGGGTTTCGGGGGCTGCGAGGCCGGTGTTTTCCCTCCCCGCTCCGCGAGGGCCATGAAATATTCAGCGCTGACCTAGTTTGCAGCGCGGGAGCGAGCGGGAAGGAGCCGCCGGCAGCGCCGGGACGCGCGGGGAGCCGCACGCAGGGCCTGGTGCTGCCCTCGCACCGCGATCCACAGCGCCCTAATGAGTCCTGCTGTGTAGTATGTGTGTGCACATAAATATATATATGTGTATATATATGTATTCGTATGTGTAAGTGTGTATGCATATATA